GATTGGGCGTGGGATCTCGCAGACCCGCCCTCCCCCCGGCCACTGGGTGACCCCTGCTGCCAGTGCCAGGCCCCCCTCCAGTCCTGTGGGCCGCGGTGCTCAGGGAAGGGGTAGGGCCCCAGCCACCTTGCTCTGCTTGCCAGGCCAGTGAGTGTAGGGGACGCCCACACCTCCCGCAGTGACGCGGCTGGGAGGCAGGAGAGCTGTGCGGCCTGAGCCGGGCTGCTTGGCTTCCCACTGCCAGTGAGCATGGGGGCAGGCCCACCCCCTGCTGCTGGCCCCAACCCCCAGCCAGGCCCGGGGAGGGGAAGGAAGGCAGCAACACAGCTCTCCCCCCACATCACCGCTCGGGGCATCCCCACCCGGGCCACACGCAGCAAGGGCCTTACAGGGGGTGCAGCTTGTTCACAGACTCATCCTCATGGGTCCTCTGCAGGTCCAGCTGGATCTTCTTGATGAGAGGAAGACAGAAACCAAGAGCAATTTCCAGCTTCTCCTCCTTATTAATCCCATATTCCTACAGCAGCGACAGAACGGGAGAAGGGGCAGACTGGTCAGAGCAACGGGCCCTGGGAGCCAGAGCTCGTCAGAGCAGCCAATGCCGGGCGCTTCAGCGGGAACGAGGAGAACAGGCGCCTCCTCCCGCCACCCAGCCCCAGCATCTGGCACTCGGAGGCCAGGGACATCCAGAGCAAGGGGTTGCAACCCCACCCTCTTGGCCCGCCCTTCAGCACCTTGTAGCTTTCTTTGACCCCACTGATACTTGGGGACCTGCCAGCGAGCTCCACAGGCTCGACTGTGTGAAGAGACACGTCCTTGTGTCTGCTGCCTAGTCACGTCATTGGGGGACGCCGGCTTAGTGTCGTGTAAAGGGGAAACACTTCCCACTTCACTGCCTCCACTCCTCTCCCTAGCATCCCCAGCCTGAACTGTGCTGCTCACCCCCGCGATGGACAGTCCCAGGCTTTTTAATCTCTTCTCGGGCGGAAGGTGCTCTAGGCCCTCGTCAGTTTTGTGGTCCTGCTGTACCTTTGCTATTTCCAAATACGCTTTCTGCGCTGGGGCAAGCAGAACCACACACATTATTCCGGCTTTAGAGATCTGCCTTACCTACCTCTTTCCTAATGCTTCCCAATTGCTAGCTCTGCCTGCAGTTTCACATTGAGCAGATGGCTCAGAGAACTAGTCACAATGACTCCAAGATCATTTAGACTGTATCCAGTCGGGGTGATGCTCTCCTGCATGCAGGACTGTGCATTTGCCAACACTGGATTTCACCAGTCACTTTTTCAGCCCTCACCCAGTTTTGAGAGACCCCTTTGCAACGCTTCAGAATCTGCTGGCAAGATGCCTTGGGTAGTTCTGTGTCATCTGCAAATGTTGCCCCCTCCCTGGTTCTGAAAAGCCATGTCTGGGTCCTTGAGAACTCCCGGGTGAGTGATCACTTGACCAATTCCTTCCAAAACCTCCTCAACTGCCATGCTAAGCCAGGACACGTCCTCAGATCTGTCACCTGCAAAGACAGGCTTGGGAGCGGAATCTCCCTTGCCCTCAATGCAAAGAATTAATTTGTATTCTCCGCAATGGCCTTGTCTTCCTTGAATGCTCCTTTAGGACCCTGATCATGCAGTGGCTTCCTGCTTCTGATGCATTTACATTTTTTAGTGGTTTGCTAAATGCTCTACAAACTCTTTTCTGGCCTGCCTAATTACATGTTTACTTTTGACTTGCCAGAATTTGTGCTCCTTTCTATGGGCATGTCTACACAGCAGCATTATTCTGAAATAATAAAAAATATGTCTACACTACAAACCTTTATTCTGAAATAATGTGGAGTCCTCAGTGGAGTCCGAGAGGGAAATAAAACTGAACTGGTTGGTAATAGTGACCATAATACAATTACATGTAACATGCTTGGTCGGGGGAATGGGGAGATACCAAAGAAACTCACCACCGTAGCATTTAATTCGGGAAGGGGAATAACGCAGAATGAGGAAGCTAGTTAAAAATAAAGTAAAAGAAGAGGCACAAGAAAAATACCTGCAAGCTTCATGGAGACTTTTAAAAAGCCACTGTACTAGCTGCTCAAACTAAATGTATACCCCAAATTAAAATGAATAGTAGAAGATAAAAAATGCCACCACAGCTACACAATGGAGTAGAAGAAGCAGGCAGAGGCCAAAAGGAACATTTAAAAAGTGGAAGTAAAATCCTATTGAGAAACACAGGGCACATCTACACAGCAGGGCTTATGTCGAAATAAGCTACGCAACTTCAGCTACATCAATTGCATAGCTGATGTCAAAATAGTTTAACTCAACTTTAGGTGCTGTCTACACAGCAGGGAGTCGAAGGAAGAACACTCTTCCTTCGACTTCCCTACTTCCTGGTAAAAAGAAGGTTACAGGAGTCGGAGTAAGTAATCCTCCGGCTCCATCAAGAATCGACTCTGCTCTTGTGGGTTGAAGGACTAGCTGCTCTAAGAAGCAGGTGTCTAGAATCTTTATCTTTGCATCCCTCCTGGTCATCTGAAGAAGTGGGCTGTGCCCAGAAAAGTCATGATAACATCTACATATTCTGTAGGTTTCCATTACCACTTTCAGGTAGTCAGGGAACTTCCCTAGGATGTGCGAGTTCCCTCTGCCTAATGTGGAAATTTAGCTTCCAGGCCTGAACAGACCATTGTGATCTAGTCTGACCTCCCCTAAGAACACAGCATTAGAAAAACATCCCGTCTGGATTAAAAATGGCCGGTGATGTTCCAGTGGCTACTTACTCTCACTGTAAAAACTTACACCTCCTTCCCAGTAGGAGTTTGTCTTGTTTCAGTGTCCAGACTTGGATCAGGTTCTACCTGTCTCTGCTAGACTGGAGAGCCCGTGAAATATTTGTTCTCCATGAAGACACTTACAGATGGTATTAAAGGTCAAGTCATCCCTTAACCTTCTCTCTATTAAGCTAACTAGCTCACGGAGCTCCTTGAGTCCACCACACAAAGCAAGTTCTAATCCTTACACAGTCTCGCGTCTTCTCTGAACCCCCTCCAATTTAGCAACATCTTTGAGTTGTGGGCCCCAGAACTGACCAATCCTAGAATCCCAGGGCTGGCAGAGACCTCACAAGTCACCGAGTCCAACCCTCTGCCCAAGGCAGGACCAACCCCAATTAAAACATCACAGCCAGGGCTGTGCCAAGCTGGGACTTAGAACCTTTTAGGGCTGGAGATTCTACCACGAAGGCCAGCAGTGGTTGCAGCACTGGCAAATGCACAGGCTAGATAACCTCTCTGCTCTTCCTTGTCATTCCCCTGCTAATGCATCCTAGGGTCACAGTCTCTTCCGGCCATAGTGTCATACTGGGTGTTCATGGCCAGCTGAGGATCCATCACAAGCCCCAGATCTTCTACAGAGTTGCCGCTTCCCAAGACTGGGCCCCTTATCCTATATGTAGGGCTGCGTGTGAACACTGACATGGAGCCATATTAAAAAGCACTGTTTACACTTGGAGCAGTTTGCCAAGCAATCCAGATTGCTCTCTCCTTTTCACGTACCTCTTCCTCATAGAGGAGACCCTGGTACAGGCTTGCACAGCTGGGTGGAGGCTTCAGACAGACTGATCTATAAATTATCATGCAAATGCTCAAGTAATCAACATGTGCACTACAGGTAGGTTTTGCAGATCTGCTAAATATCAAGGCTTCTTCACTACCCCGGTTAAGTGTGGATGTCAGTGTTTTGCTTACGTAAAATCCAAGGATGTGTCTAGACTATAGGGTTTTTTGACAACGGTTGGCTTTTGTCAACAAAACTATACCTGCGTTTATACTACCGCCGCGTTTGGTTGACGGCAAGTCGACAGAACGTGGCAGTTTTGTGGACAACGGTAAACCTCGTTTGACGAGGAATACCGCCTTGTCGACAGTACTCTTTTGAAAAAAGGCGCTATTGCATGGAAACTGCTTTTCCCAAAGAGGG